TTTTGTTATGTGATGAATTAAGAAAAATATCTCAAGCTAAAAATGTGAAGTATTTGGCTCCTATTTTAGACTGTCCTACACGTTGGAATTCGACCTATCTTATGCTGGAAAGACAAATAGAAACAAAGGAAATCAACCAACGACTTGTCAGGAACAATCCTAGTAGTATTGAATTAGAATATTTGACTGAAAATGATTGGAAACAAATTGATGACTTGTGTGTTATTTTAAAACCATTATACATTGCAACCAAATTTTTATCATCAAGTTCACCCACTTTAAGTGATGTGCGCATTACTTTTACTGCATTAATTAAAGAATTGAAAAAGGTAATTGATGGCAACAATGAACATTATTTAATTGCAGATTCAGTTAATCATAAATTAAAAGAATATTGGAGTCTCATGGAAAATAACACACGAATCAGTTCTGTAATTGATCCAAGAAATAAATTATCTGGTTTTACACTACAAGAAATTGAAGAATTAAAAAATGAATTTAAAAATCTTATAGATACATATGAACCACTGAATCAACAATTGTCTAATCAAAATTCACAACAAAATCCTAATCCAAATAGCCGTTCTTATTTTCTCTCCATGATTTCTTTACCTAATAACAATGATAATAGTAATCATCACACACAATCATCAACACAAGATGAACTTGAACGTTATTTACAACTACCAATTGTTACCAACGAAAACATTGATCCATTAAATTGGTGGAAAACACATCAAACAGAATTTCCAATGTTAGCAAGGATTGCCAAAGATTATCTCACTGTTCAGGCCACCTCTGTGCCTTGTGAACAATTATTTTCACTTGCTAATCACACTATTCGTAAAACAAGATCAAGGCTTCACCCACAAACTGCAAGAGCTGCTATATGTCTAAAAAGTTGGTTATCCTATTTTTCAGAAATGGATAATGATAAAATTATTTTAGATGTTGTTGAAGAAACATCTACACCTGATGAAAATATAGAAGGTGATGAAGAGTTAAATTGGGTTGGGTTAATTGATGAATAATATGTATTTTATTTTTAATATAGTTAAAATTAAAATTAAAATTAAAATTTTTAAAAGTTTTTCAATAAAAAAATTATGATTTGTTTGAATTAATAAAGACTGCAGTCTGGACTGAACCATTGGTCTTTTTCGGACCATTTTCAAAACTGACAGTTTGGTCTGACTTTAAATAAGACTGACATGGACCGGACTGGACCGGACCGGACGGACCATTTAACATCCCTATGTGGGACTAGGTGTCTTGCACTATATATGTAAATTTTAGAAAATTTTATAGCCGATCTTTTATCACGTGATAATACTGAGAACGCATGGCTTTTTTACGTATTACACGCAATATCAAAATTTTATTTTGACATTAAAGTTAAGTTGGTTTGGATTGTGTCTTCGCAAAGAGCAAAAAATCACATCACTGGTCAAGACAATAGTTATTATTAAATAAAGAAGATCATCCCACATTTTTCGTAGACATTCTCTTGGACCATTCTGGATATTCTTTGGTGTCATATATATATACCTTTAGGAAGTTTTTAGACCGAACCAGGTATGTATTTGGATAAATTTTGCACTTGATGATCTTTAAAAACATGTGACCGTAAATTTTTTATTGCATTTTTTGATTGAAATATTTTTTCTCAAAATTGTCGTCGTGAAACAAAAAGTTCAGTGATAAAGTGACTCGCACTATAGTCCAATGCTAGTTTAATTTTTATTAAAAAAACCTTTATCTAGCAAATTATAAAATATTTAGCATTTTATAAGTGATTTTAATCTTCGTACAGACATTTGTATAAATTCATTTTTAGATTTAAATTTTTTCTCTACATCCTTTTTAGATAAATAAAATATATGATTATGATTAGTCAAACATCTTTTTGATTTTTTTGATTTAATAATAAATGCCACCAACTTACCTCATTATCATCCAAAGCCTTTAATTTTTCAAAAATATCTATCATAACAATTCCTGCAGTAGTTTTAATTGATGTTATTTTAGCAGTGACAATGAAACAATTGAAATGCCTCCACAATAATATTAAACAAACTTCAACATCATCTATGATTAGCAATACAAATGATTATTATTAAAGAATATAATTGTCTGATAATAAATGAACAAAGTTAACATAACCTACAAAAATAATGTATGGTATTTTTTAGATATTTGCAAACTTGATCCTGTAATCCTCTAATTGCCAAAGATCTTTGATGAGATTCATCCAACTCGGCAATAAATTCATTAGGAAGTATAGAAAGAATCTATTATTTGTTATTATCAAATTATTATAATTCTTAGGACAAAAAAAAACATTCTGTTTTATTCAAAATCATTTATGACAAACCTCATCTGTGTTATTTGACAGTTCATTTGCACCTTTCTCAAGCTGAGATGATAATTTGCCATAATTTTTTAAATTTATTAATAAATAATCTATTGAGGTCCTCAAATAGTTTACAATAATTGATAATTCTGGTTGACCTATATAAAATATGTATATTTTCATAAGCATTGTAAAAAAATAAATAATATATATATATATTTTTAAAAAATTTCTTACCAAAATTTCCTTGATAATTATCATCTGGTCTTCTTGCAAAATCAAGAGAGGGTGTAAATATTGGTGTAAATTCTCTTCCTAAAAATTAAAATATTATTATAACATTTTATATAATAATAATATAAGAAAGCAATGAAAAATAGTAATACCTATTTCATTTTTTATACTTGACAATACTTGACACCATGACAAAAGATTTCTATTGATATACTCAATTTGTTCTTTAATATCTATATATATTATAAAAACTATTATTAATAAACTGCAAGAATATTTATAATGTTCATTAAAATAAATATTTACATTGAAGATTTGATTCATCGAAATCTTGAACTGTTATTATATGTTTCCTGATCAAAAAATATCGTGACATCAATTCTTTTAGGAAATCTTGAAAAGTTTTCTGATGAGTATCTTTACGCTATTCAAATAGTGTAATTAACATAACAACATAAATATTACCAATATTACTATGAAATAATCTCATAATCAAAATCACTTACATGCAAATCAATATTTTCAATTCTGAAACCCAAGAAATAAAATATTCGAGTTAATTCTTGTAATTCTTCTATACACATTATTGATATTGTATATTTAGTTGCATCCTTTGCAGTTAATTGTTCCATACTTGGAGTATCATTGAAAATATCAGAAAATGTTCCTTGGTGCCTTTTTATAAAATCAGATATCTGTTTATAAAAATATAAATATAATTTAATTCATAATCAAGTAATCAAAAATCAAAAAAGATATAGCAACAACCATAATAAATACTTTATTCAATACTATTCTATTTTCATGTCCAATATTTGTAAGAATAAAACTGATAAATCGAAGCACGCTCATTAAAAGTTCATGATAATCTTTATATAATGACTTTTCTTGAATATCTGGAATAAATAAATAGTATCAAAGTTAATTTTAAAGAGGTTTTATGTGGTAGAAGTCAACTTGAATTTGAGAACAAGTATGTATATGTGTGTGTGTGTATTACCAGCTATTGATAAAGTAAATTTTGGCCTGTCATCTAAAAATAATAATTGATCCAAATAGTCAATAACTCCATAGTCTATAAGCTTAATTGCACAATCACATTGTTGAGCTAAACGAAGTAAAAAATTCATTCTGGATGTGAACACATATCTTGCATGTATAGCATTTAGGTCTTTCATAATAATAAAAATAGTGATTAGTTGTTGATGATTGGTTGATATAAGTGATATTTTATAATTATAGATATATAGATAATACATGAAATTATTATCATGATACAATAACAACTAACCAGGTCTAACTCCATAAGATTGTTTTAGTAATTCATTTTGAACTGATAAACTTTTAACAATATTTTGCACAAAATGAGTTTTTATTAAATTATCAATTATATAATTTGATTTATCTTGCTTTATTAAACCACAAATCGCTGTTAAAATTATTTTATCTAGTAAATTATCTCCAATATTTCTATAAACAGAAAGATTTCTTGAATCAATAATTGATCTAGTACTTCTGATAGATTTTGTTTGTGAAATCAAATATTGTCTGTACACTATACTGCTGCTGCTGTTGTTGCTGCTGCTGCTGCTACCACTTCCTGTGTAATTTGTTAAACTGTCTTCAGGTTCATAATCAATATAATGCAAGTAATTATACATAGAAGAATATAAATTATTTCGAATATCTGAGGAGAATGATGGTCCAATAAGGCAGTCAATTATAAGGTTGAATATACTATAAAGTCTTTCAGAATGAACTCTGATTTGAGCATTATTTTTAGTCTTAAAATTTTTTATTAAAGATAAACAATTATGATCCAGGCGTAAAGCAGTGATTATTATAAGAACAACTTTACTCAAGACCATGCCAATTGCATCAGATTCTTGTTTCAAGATTGACAACAGTGCCAATAGAATATCATGAAAGACTGTTTCACGAATATTATAATGTATTCTATTGTAATGATTTACAACAGCTATTTCAAGTATTTCTCTCCAAGCTTTAAAACAATAATATCTGGCTTGATTTAATTCTTGTTGTCGATTATAAAAGTAACAATATTTTAAAATTTGTTTCATTTCTATTTTTAGATTTGCATCATCTTGCATAATCCCTAAACCTCTTTTTTGAATATGATTATAAATTTGATTTAATTCTGAATAAATATCTTTTAATTGATATAAAACTATTTCATTTTTATAATTATTCATCCAAATATCAATGTTTTTCTTATCAAAATATTTTTGCGTAGGATTATTCATTTTCCAATGATCATCCCATTCAAATTCTAACATATAGAGAATCTCAATAATTTTCATTGGGGATGAAGCAAAAATTTCTTCATCTATTGCGTCTTCTGACTGAGATTTAATTGCCTTATCACCAAATACTAGTGCCAACAAATTGTCTATATTTGATTGAGTTTGAGATTTATGTAATTCTAATGCAATGATTTTCATAAACCAGGTTCGCTCATCCAAATTGGCACAAAGGGTAGCTAGGTCAATTTCAAATGAATATTTGTCATACCGTGTCAACAAGCAAGGTTCAAATTCATGGGATTTTTCTGATGGGAAAATGTTTGTTGGCATTGCTTCCAATTGTTTATGAATAAAACCTTGATTTCGTAAAAACAATAGTGTTGCTTCAGAAGTAGAACTGTCTGCACATAGTCTATATAAGATTTGATAGCAACGTGAAGTTATTGCAGGATAGTTGGAAAATGAGGATTTGATGATGTCATATTTATAGTCTTCATTGATTTTATGACCAAGAATTTCCAATACCTTATGTAAACATGATTCTCTCAGGTCATATTGGTTCAGATATTTGATGGATGTGCGAGTTAATGTATTGCTAAAATCATATCCTAAAAGAAAATGGGATATTGTTGCTGGTGTTTTACCAGGAATCAGGTTTTCTAATATTAAATCAAGTACCGCAAAAGACACTGTTGCAAATGTTATTCCTCTTTCATTCAATAAAAATGCTGGTGCATTGTACCCTTCTTCGTTACTTTTTGTCCAATTTTTAAGGCAAAGATGCGTTAATTCTAATTCTTGAAAATCTAGGCTTATTTCTTCACAAATTTCCTCTATATTAATATCTAATCTCATAACAAACCCTGCAAGAATTCTATCAGATTCAGGACTGGAATCAAGTACACCCATCAATCTATTAACCCTTTCTGATCTGAAACTGAATCTTTCTTTGGAATTAAATAAAGCAGATCTGGATAAACTAGATAAAATCTTAACAACATAAAAACAAATTTCTGGATTTTCACAGAGTATATATAATGAAATTTTTTCAATTATATCTTTTTTCAATAGAAAAGAGTTTTCAAGATATCCTGGAAAATTTTCTTGTGCTAGAGGAATGACCTTTTCAACAAATCTTTCTTGCTTTTCCATTGGAATCCATAAAATTTTTAAGCAACATAAAACACAATTTTCTAAATTATG